ATTTATTGATTTGTTTTTTATGTTATAGGGGAATTATTTTTATTTATATTTCATTTAAGATAAATGATTTTTTAATCGGGGAATCTTTATTGAAGTTAATGTAGTTGAATTCAAATTTATTGTAAGAATTAGTTATATGACTTGAGGCCTATGCAGAATTTTTGATGTAGAGGTCCAAACACAAATCTGCTTAAAGGACCAGGATATTGAACCTCTTATAATTCTTGTAGAGGATTCATTAATTTTCATGAGTGTTAATTTCGTTGATTTCTTGGTATAAAAATATCCACGAATTCATGTCCCGAATAAAATGTTAAAATACTATATAGCAGCATAAAATCTTCCCCTTTCCCTTGAAAATAATTCTCCTTCAAACACCTTGACTGTCGCATCTTTTTACGTGATGTCATATAGGACAGAATGTTTTTTTTTGTTTGTTTTTTTTTTTAAATTCAGTATGACGAATGATTTTTGTTATAAACTTTTAAGAAAGCATTTTTTTAAAAAAAGAAACATTTTAAAGTTTTAAAAACTGCGATAATCTGCAAGGTCAAGACTTTGTAATTTACAAACAACAGCTAAGGAATATCCATAGCTATGTCCTTTTAAATAGCGCAAAAAGAGAAGAAAAAACTCTAAGCGATTAAATTAAGAATTAATACATCGTTTCATATTCCAAATTATGAATTAATAGTTTGTTTTGTGAAAATGAAATCAATTTTACAAGATAGGTAGTCTTCGTGGAAAAAGGCAAAAAAAAAAAAAAAAGAAAAAGATGACGTCATAGAACTTCTCAGAGCAGCAGTTTACGATATAGTTTTGTGTGGTACTTTTGTAAACTCCAGAATAAAATTTTAAAACGGTGACGGAAGCAGCGAATATGTCAAAAGCCTGAAATACATGTCTGTGTAAATGGCCCAGGAGTTTGAATGTCAAAGTCTATTTCAAATGAAGGCGGTTTTTTAAGGATTGGTCTATGAAAATCTGAAAAAATCTCACCAAAAACTTACAGTTGATAAGTAGGGCCATGGAAAGAGAAAACAGGTCACAGTTACTCTGTAAAAACAAGTTAAATAAAATATATACAAACTAAAGTATTCTATTGGAACAATTGTTTGCAAAATAACAATCTACAGAGAAACGTTTATACTAGTAGTAAATAGATATCGGACCAGTTTACTAGTACCATATGTTAAATATATAGGGGGATATTATATATTTTGAGAACCACGTGACGCTATGCTTCTGATGTTATGGTGTTGCTCCTGGGCTACCAAACTTGTTGGTTTTAGAATTATTAATACGTAAATTGATTTCTACTAAATCACATGGAATGGAACTTCACACTTCAACAAAATCATTATCCTAAAATTTGATCATTACCCGGTAAATAATGTTTAATTTAGTATCTTGCAAGAGCTTAAGAAAGATTGACATTGTCCTTGAACTTTCCGAACAACCCTCATAAATTAAAAAACAAAAACAATATCTTTAAAAAATGCAGCTTTGATCTACTTAGAAATTTTATTTGATGTAAAAAAAAATTCTTCCAAAAAAGATGTACTGATGAACAGTTAATTATCTACATAGGTTTTATACTTATCTTCAAATGTTTTATATGTGAACTAATCTAGCAACAATCTGTTGGTTTCATTTTTAAGGTCTTAAGATAAATCTGTGAAACATGTAATGGATGGATGGATAAAAACTTCGAAGGATGTTTTACGTAAATGTGTGAAAAGATCATATTTTGGAACTTCTTATTTGAGAAAATGAACTTGGCTTGTTAAAAAAAATTAAAGATATTGAAAAAAAAAATATAAAAAGAATTTCTAACAAAAAATTATTTTTAAAAAGTTAAGTGGATTAAATGGTTCATTTCGCACAAAAATATGATTCAAACTAGAAACATATACCTCATAAAAACCTCTCATTTTAATAACTTTGACTACTAAATATCTGTTGATCTAGTTACAATCCTTACAACTTTTTTTTTTATTTTAAGCTGCTTAATTCTGTTTTATAATGTAGGATTAATTCCATCAAAAACACAGGGGCGGATCCAGCAATTTTTGAAAGGGGGGGGGTTCCAGGGTTGTGTCTTTCTAACCCCCCCCCCACCTATACACACTCTCAAGCAAAGATTCATACACACGTATTGAAAGAACTTATGTTGTGGTTTATTATAATATCTTTGTTTACATGTACAGTGTACATCCTTTTTTTCTTTGAAAAGGCTAGGTACCCCAAGTCAGAAAAAACAAACTCATTACAAAAAGTAATGAAGCCCGATAAAATTGAATGGATCTGCAGCATTTCCGAGTTAGAGTAAAAAGAATTTTCTTTAAGAATTTGAAAACAAAAACTTTTGGGGGACAAGATGCGGATGGGGTTTAACACAAAGAGTTTCAAGTAAGTTCCTCCAATAGATATGATTAAAAAGGAAACATATATAGCCAACACAGCCAAAGATCGCGGAAATATCATGTCAAATTAAACCTCGCATGTTACATATCACATTAGACATATAAAAATAAGTAGAATATTTTCTACCATTCGCTCTTAAAAGTAATAATGAAGGTAAATGGAGGAATAAATGTGTGGGAATTTATCTATTCATTACTTAAGTTAGACTACAATTTTTTTCTCTCAGATCAGATTACGTTATCTCTCTCTCTCTTTCTCTCTCCATTTGACAAAAAATAAAGGGGGAGTTCCAACCCCCGGAACCCCCCCCCCCTTCTGGATCCGCCAATGAAAACATTTGCATAAGATTATCTGGAAATTCTAAGGAAGATTGGCTTTTTTTAATAGACAGAACCTGGATTTGAAATTCAATTTTTTGTTAACAATGAAAAAGCGATTACGACTAGTGATTAGATCTCATAACTCAAAATGAGGATGCGATTTCAATATTAAGCCAACATGTGAAAAAATCGAAAATTTCCAAGAATATTTTTCACTTTAAATTACAATATGAACTAAAATAAGAAGCTGAAAATATGCTTAAATAAAAAGGACTCGTGTATTTTTTCAATATTTAAAGTAGATATTTTTGAAAATAAAACAGTTCTCTAGCAACATCGAAATTTAATTTAAATGTGTAATCAAATAAATCTGAGTTTACAAAATTTATGTTTTAATAGAAGCAATATTGACGTTTGGTTGCAATACTGATCATAACTTGTCGACGAGTGGCATAGGCATTCAATGACTTTTTGTCTGATTGATCCTTACCCTCTTCTTGTTTTTTTTTTGTTTTGTTTTGTTTTTTTTTGTTTTTTTTGAACATCAAATTGTTAGAGTTGTTGTTTTTCAAAATCTGTAAATGCAGTTTTCACCTTGCAACTGTTATTATATACACTTTATTTGTAATTGTTAAATCACAGATTAAACTGTGGCCTTCAACTCTACATTTAGATATATCGACGACGTACAATGGTAACAATGGTAATTTCCATTCCTATGTCGATGCGATATATCCCGGGGAACTTGAGATAATAGATACTACAGAGTCTGATACATCTGTTTCATACTTGGATATTTTACTTGAAAAAGTCATTAACGGTAATCTAACAACCAAGCTATATGATAAACGTGATGACTTTAAATTTTCTATCGTCAACTTCCCCTACTTATGCAGTAATATACATGTACCATCATCACCTGCATACGGAGTTTATATATCTCAGTTGATTCGATACGCAAGAGCATGCCCTACGTATGAACAATTTCTAAAACGAGGTTAATTATTGACAAACAAGTTGATGAAACAAGAATATCAGCAGTCTCGTTTAAAGTAATCAATTCGAAAGTTTTATGGTCGATACTATATGAACTTATCAGCAAATACAATTTATCATTGAGTCAAATGCTGACTGACGTTTTTCATACTAAATGTAAGTCCATTATTTATACACTGAATTGACGAAAGATTTTCTCGTTATTTCCCGATCATGACAAGGAGCACATGGCGGGTGTCCATGGCACCTGATCCCACCTCTGATGTTTTGGAGGTTCGTGTTTGTTCTGTTCCTGTTTTGTATTGTTTTATGGACATTTTATCTCGAATACTGTTCGTTTTATCCATATATTTCATTAATATTTTAATTTTATAATTTTGTCCATATTTAAATTTTAAATGAATTGCATATTTTAATGGTGATTCAATCCATTTTATTTCATTATTATTTCAATATTATACAAAATGCCAACAGGAAGGTATCAAGGTCTATTCATCATGGTTGTACAGTTGATATTTACCTTCTTAATTCGATCAAACTTTGTCTTTGCATCTTATCGGTAAATCAAAGTTAGATTTTTTGTTACCATTCGTGTTGTGTGCGTTTGTGTTCAGTTTCATAGATGACATATATGGAGATAACGAACGAAGCTCAAAAGTTAATCAAACAATGCAAAATTGGAGCAGAGCAAACACGGACCACCGAAAATCAGAAGTGGAATCAGGTGCCATGGAGGAGTGGGCTTCCCCTTCCGACCGCTCATACTCGCCGTGTGCTCCTTGTCATGATCGGGAAATGACGGTAATCGTATGCAGGTGATGAAGGTACATGTATATTGCCTCATAAGTAAGGGAAGTTGACGATTGAAAAGTTAAAGTCATCAGGTTTATTATAGAGCTTAGTTGTTAGATTATCATTAACGTCTTTTACAAGTAAAATATTTAAATATGAAACAGATGTGTCAGATTCTGTGCTATCTTTTATCTCAAGCTCACCGGGATATATATGGTATCGACGTAAAAATGGAATAAATCTTTGTTAATTGACAATATGTCGTCGATATATCTAGATATCGAGTTGAAGACCACAGTCAGTGTTTTCCTCTCTTCAGGTTTAAGATTTTGGACAAATTCTGCTTCATATGAATACAAAAAAGGTCCGCTAATTACGGGGCGCAATTGGTACCTAAGGGATTCTAATAAAATTGTTGGAAGACCTTGTCTCCGAAAACATTTTTAAGTATCCACATCAGATTTACACCACTTCTCGAATTTATTGTCGGACAGCACTCGATGGATCTGATTCATCCACTTACTTCCATAGTAAGAAGGACAAAATGTTTTAGTTTACAAGCTGTGAGGTAAAGACCACTAAAGTATATATTTGAAAATATTCTGAACAAATTTCTAATCACTTATTTTCGGTTTCCCTTCTTCTATGTACTTGAACTTCAACGCCTATATACAATAACGACCCAACAGCAAGCAAACCAATGACGATGATCAGTTTGATTTTGACGCACAAGTATAAACTGATGACGAAGTACACAGTAAAGCTTGCAGCCTTAGTGCAGTGGTAGTTTGCAAAAGCAGCTTCCGTCTTCTCCGGAAAAAGTAATGCTATCAGTGCTAGAAAAAATAAAACAAAAAACGTTAGGTTTTTTTCCAAAATTGACAATAAAAAGTTGTATGTTCTAAAAATGAAATAGCAGTTATTTAAAAAAAAATCCCCAATTTCATCTTCAATCCACAAAAACGACCTTTTCCCCAATTTTAATACTTAAAATAATAATAAATATTGTGAAAGAGCTAGTGTACAAACACTTTTCATACGTACCATTCGATTGAGTTTGAAATATCCCCTCTGTTAGGCCCCAGACTACAGCAAGGGCATAGACGTACTCCTTCTGGTCTGGTTTAGGTACCCAGACAAACAGTAAGACAAAGATGGCCATGTCAATGCAAACAGCAATACCAAAAAGGATATATCTACCAGTGTACTTAGCTACCCTTGACGTCACGAAGGCACTTACGGTGGTAGCACAGCCATAGCTCGCCATTACAAAGCCTATCATTTGTATGCCATAGGGACAACTTATGTAAGACTGAAAACAAAGACAAAAAATTGGCAATAGAAAGCCACATGTTATAGGAAAAAACGCGGTTTTGCCAATTTGTTAAATTATTGATTTTCAGACATTAAAGTCAACAGTTGATCGTTTGGCTACTTTATAAGTCTTTATTCGTTAAGCTAACATAAATAGAAAGATATACTTTGGCTACTCTACTCTTTAAAGCAAGTGCTGCTATGAGGATAATGGTGTTCCTCGTTGAGAATCTTTATGAAATCATGGAGACCTGGCCCCGGGATCATGAAGCGTCTTAAGCTTAAGTCAAAAAATGCCTCAGATGCTGAAATTTTTTAGAGGTCATGCAGCCCAAAATGAAAATGCTTTCCGATTTTGTATCATCAGCCTGCTGTTGCATGCAAATTATGAGTTTCCTTTAACAAGTTTAAAGATTTAATAGATAATTGAAATTTTGACTTAAGTCTAAGTCCGTTTCATGATCCCGGGGCCTGCTCTTCCAATAAATTGATAAAATTTTGATTGACACTAATCATGTACCTCCATTAGCCGAACTGTTTTTTTTTTATTTCTTTGATCGAAGCAGATATTATTCAAAAATCTGCTGCACATTCAGATATATATTGACGGCGTTTTATCATTAAGAAATAGTTACTTCCATTTATACAAACAAAAGAATCCCTTTGGATATGCTCAATGCAGATTACGGTGTAACGGGAGGAGCATCATAGTGGATTGAATTTTACCAGAAAATCGATGTCGATTTTTGTCAATTAACTCTCTCAAATCTTCTGACGGAATTCTTCCTTTTTTACGTCCCTAAAGGGGTCTGTTCTTGGACCTTAACTCTATTGTTTGTTTTCAAAACCTTTTGGAGCCATCTGTCGATAACATGGAATACATGTAAACTGTCATGCAGACGATTCGTAAAATTACCTTGTAATATGACCAGCTGGTTGACATAATTGAGTTTTTTTTTCAAGAAAAAAAGCGTGTATAGCAGATAGTGCTAAATCGATGGCTACAAATTCTTAATCTGTTGAAACCTGACCAAGGAAAAACGAATCTAATAATCTTATTCTTATAGACATAAACGAAAATTCCAAAGCACCATCTTAAATCTAGCGTTGTATTGTGTTTATTCGGATTCCCATCTGACATTTGATAATCTTGAGTCATTTTTTGTGATGACATGTTACTTTCATGTTAGTGACTTTGCACGAATTCGCCATCTTATAACAACTGGGGCATGTAAGACTCTTGTTAATGAACAGTTATATCAAGGTTCGATTAAGCCCATTTTTGTGTCTGTTTGGCATCAACAAGACTACTTTGGACCGCTTAAAGAGGGTAAGAATATCACGACAAGACTTGTCTCTCCAAGAACATCAACGTGGAATCAAATTTCCTCGTCCTTGACGAGCTGCCGTCTTCCACATTTTAAGATAACGGTGCTAACCATTAACTACTAATGGAAGCCAGCTCGACAACTTCAATACGACTTGTGCCAAAAGTTTGCAATTATTTCGAATTTTAGAAAAGGGACTTTGCCTGCTACAACCTCACACACACACACACACATACACCCTCCCTCACATAAACACATAAAACCTGCTAAAAACATGAAAAGTGTGGATGTCTTTAAGGCAGATGCGCCTGATGGACAGGAGATGTTTTCTCCTGGGCCCTAGGTACCTGATCCCATCTGGGGTTATTCCCTGTTCACATATTAGTATTGTTCGTACGTTTCTAACTTAAAGATCAATCTGTTCGTTATCATCATTTTTTTTTCCATTATGAAATACAAACCTTGGTAAAATCAGTCCACAACACAGCTTGTTCCATTGCCATTATCGAAATAAACGGTACAAGCAAGACAAGTTTGGGGTCCCATAAAGCGGAGAAACAGGCTGTGATTGATTCTTGTGTATTAGATTGTTCAGCCCATTCACTTTTTGGAATTGAAGGTAAAAATATTACTGTACACAAAAATCCAAGGAGATCAAACGCTAGAAAGATTGAAAGCATGAGGTAAACTGTGCTTGAAGATGGTTCTACGATTTTACTTGTCCCGTTTTCCAAAGCAACATCAGGACAGTCATTACAACCACACTGTGTTGATGCTGGTGTTGAATTGTATTCGTCTCTATTTAACACGAAAGACGACACCAGGTTTCCGGAAATTTGAGTGAGTTCGTAATATGTGAAAAATATCCCATTCAAACGACTGAGGACGGCGTGAGTGTCGGCTTTATTCAGGTCAGAGAACGAGTAGGCATTTGTGGATATGAAAACACTCTGGGAGGTCCACATTGGTCCAGATATTAGTCCGAGGAGAATGGATGCCGGAAGAAGAGTAGCAAAGGTCGGATAAAAGTTGGCGCAAGTGTAAAGCATGTGGGCTATCCACGAAATAAGAAGAGAAATTTTGATTCCAAGTGATTTTATAATCCATGGTGCAAGAATGGACGACAGGATTATGAAACCATACAGACAGGAGAGTGATGTTATTCCCAGTCCCTCCTCTTGGTTTAGACTGCTCTGAAGGTTCTGGAGTGCTAGATATGCCGTAAACACAAAGAAAAAACTGAAGGAGATGATCACAACATTCAGAGTTTCCCGTCCGCTCACCCCTACTTCCTTCTCCACTTTCCGACATCCAAAAAAGATTTTCATGATGGTTTGCTAGGTATTAAGCACTATCGTCTACTTAATATACTTCAAGGCTTTTCCCCTTCCAAATGCCCACCGCTACAATTATGTTAACAGCATTCCTGAATTCTCAATTCTTGTCTGACAAGATGTTTACCTTTTCGAGATATCTTTATTTTTATGAAAGTCACTTTGGTATTTGAAATGGATGTTCTTGGGTTCAACAAGTGGAACAAACAAAGTTAGACCTACCCTAACGATAAAGCTTATATTTGGATCAAACTGTGAGGAGTGATTTCAGGTACAATTAGTAGATATGCAAGATCTAATGGCGAAATAGGCAAGGATGCAATAGTATTCCATCTTTTTGTGTTTCTATCAAAGCCAATAAATGAATTAAACTCCTGGAATTATAAGTAAAAACAAAACCAATTGAATATTCACAGCAGATTTACCGATACATATACAATTTGCAAAAGCAAATATCTGTACACATCGTTTGGTTGATAACATAATACGTACCTGTACCTTAATGTTTATTTAGAAGATATAAAAATGTAAAGTATACACTCAGTGAGAAATTTTAAAATATATTGTATTTAAAATGTACATGCGAAAATATTTGTAGATTTTATATACTTCATTTTTTAAAACAAAAATAAATATAGTCACAATAATAATAATAATTGTTAAAGGACATTATGCATAGACACAAACAAATATTATATACGAGTAAATATAGCCCTTTGATGAGGTCAATCCATAGATATATCAACTTCACAGAAAAGCATATCGACCGAGCACGAAGTGCGAGGTCGATATGCTTTTCTGTGAAGTCGATATATCTATGGATTGACCGAATTAAAGGGCTACATTTGTTATATTATTTTTTACATAGATTGACAAAACAAATTATGAAAATAATTGGAAAAGTTTTCTCCCTTTAACAATAAGAGACTAGAGATCAAAATAAATTACACCGTTTAATGTAAATGCGTTTCCTTTATATTGATGGAGTGATTTGGACGGTTTACTTATTCAGAATACTTCATTTATTTGATTAAGTTTTGTATCAACATTTGACACACATATCGAATATGTTTTAATTAATATGAAGTAATCCTAATCCAATGCCTTCTTTTGTCTCATCAAATACAGAACATTGAAACAAAGTTAGTAAAAGTTGAAATAAATATTTTTTTTTCTAGAAACATCAGATCATACACTGTATTAGCTTTGATTGAATACAGTACTATTTTGTTTCACGGAAATTATCTCCATTTTAAGAAAGCTCAAGTCGATATGCATTTCAGATTCTATAAATAGTAACTCAAGTCTTTATGCTGTTATATACTAAATCATGTGATCAAGTTTGAGCCAATCAGAGAGCTGGGAATAAATGATAAAAATAATATATGTATATATCAATTGTTTTATACCCCTGGTTCGAAAGATCCCGGGAGTATATTGTTTTTGTCCAGTCTGTCTGTTGTCAACTTAAACCTAGCCCATAATTATTGCACTCTCAAGTATTAGTGATGAACACTTCAATCTACGTCCTACTCCAGAATTGTATTACCATCGGGGGCACAATGTTCATCTAAGCTTATTAAAAACAGAATTTTAAAGCAAACACTTGTGCATGAGGTAATTGATAATACTTATAAGGTTTTAGTTATCTTTTAAAATGCATCATTTCATTTATAACGTTAACTATAAAAAAATTTACAGGAAGGTAATTATGTTAGGTAATATACCGGTAATAACGAAACTACTTTAAATTTCTTCGCATAGTCAAACATTTGACCTGCGCTAAGAAAATATCATAACGATTATTCTTCCAATTAAAATTTCATAAACAAGAAGATATAAAATATTAAGCTCTTTTCTAAATGTAAGCAGAGTGGTCAAAGTTTTACAGTATCTTACATATTCCAAAAATAAAATTAGAAAGGTTTTTGGTGTAACTTTTTAGATTATTTATTAAAATACACATGCATTTGATAATTTAAATGTTAAGTTAATTGTGCTTATATTTTTGACTTTCACAACTTTTTTTCTTCTTTTTGTTACAATATGGTGATAGAATTTAAAAAAAATACTAATTTGGACCATACTAAAAGATATTAAAAGATTTTACTGCACAACGTAATTCTGTGCGTAGCGTTCGTATGTTAATGGAACTCTAAACTTAACAGTGCTTGATTATTCGAAAGAAAATTACGAGCATTTATTTTCTTCCTTTTTAAAATAAAGCTCCTCAAACAATATCTTACCGTAAATGTGGATTTTAATCAATGAATTTTACTTGAAAACAGATAAAATCGAAGAAGTTATGACTACCTTCGTCTGCTAAAAACAAAGGAAAAACACTTGTATTTTTCATAATAATTTTTTTTACTTAATTATGTTTATTTCATTTGTGCTATATTTTTTTAAAAACTAAGAGAATTATGATATGAAACTGTTTTATGTTCCAATTTTGGCTGTTGAATTTAGTTAATTTAGTTAGTTAGTTTAAGACATATTCAAGGTATTCATATTGAAAAATTATGAGTTTGACAGAAAATTCTGAAAGTACGGACCTACCTTAAGAAAAATCATCTTTTTCTAAGAGACAAAAAATCAATATGCGATGAAATATATGGAGACAACGAATAGTTTTCAAGCTCAGAAGTCCATTAAACATTACAAAATAGAATCAGAGCAAAGACGGACCTCTAAAACAGAGAAGAGATCAGGTCCCATGGAGGAGTGAGAATTTGCTGCCGACCAGTTACACCTACCGTGTGCTCCTTATTGGGAAATAACGAGAAAAATCCGTCGATAATTCAGTATATAAATTATGGCCTAAGAATAAGTATGAACAACGTCAGTCAGCATTTGAATTAATGATAAATTGTATATGCATGCTTGCAAGATCATTGTATCGACCATAGAACTTACGAAATGATGACTTTAAACGAGACAATTGATTTTCTTGTTTCAGCAACTTGTTTGCCAATTGCAATAACTTACCTTTAAAAGCATGCGTTTGTGTATCGAAAAAACTGAGAGATAGAACCCCGTATGCAAGTGGTGAAGGTATATTGCTGCATAAGAAAAGGGAAGTTGACTAAGGGAAAGTTTATGTCATGTATATCGTTTGTTATAATGCTTGAGAATGAGATTACCTTTAACGTCCTTTTAAAAAATGTAAAAGTATCTAAATATGAAGCAGATATGTTAGACTCTATGATATCTTTTATTTCAAGCTCACTGGTATATTGTACCGACATACCCGGTAGTATGAAAATAACCACACGACAATAGGTCGTCGATATATCTAAATGTTGAGTAGAAGGCCACAGCAAGTGTTTTCTTCGTTTCGTATTTTGGACAAAGAGTGCTTTATATTAACACAAAAATAGACCTGCTAATAACGGTGACGCAATTGGTACCCATGAAAATTCCAATAGACTGGTGGAAAACCTGGTCTCAAAAATCCAAAAAGATATTGTCACTCAGAAACTCGAGCACCTTTTAATATCTTCAGAGTACTTACATGTGTACAATCAGAATGTTTTTAACAAAATAATTTTGCAAATTAAGCAAAAACTAACGCAAATAAATATATAATTCAGATATTTTTTTTATTTAATAAGTGTACATAAACGCCTTGCAAAAATGTGTGGTTGATCACAAAGCATGTACATGATTATTTATTTAGAAGATTAAAACGTGAGGAATGTGTCATTCAGACAGATGTGCATGTATTTAAAAATTACACACAATAAAGCAAAGTAGAATATTAATATATGGTTGCTTTTTTTCAAACAGAAAAAAGTGACATTTTTTTTATTGTTAACGATGTTCGATCCTGATATTTAAAGTCTTAAACTTTTTTGGCCAAGTATATTTTTAGTTTCTACATACATAGCTTAATTAAAATTCAAATCAAAAAATGGGGGTCAATATGCTTCTTTTAGCGCTACAGTACATTTAATATGACCTTTTTGCACTGAAATTTGTGTCTTAATTAAAGATTACATCTTCGACGTTTTCCCTCCAATATTTTTATCCAATTAAAGCATGAAACAAAATGAACTCTAAGTCTGTTTAAAAAGAGATACTTAAAAATTGTGACTAAGAAAAAAATTCTAATTGCTTTGCATAATCAATAATTTGACCTTTCTGCACTAATAAAATGTTATTTTCCGGCATTGAAAATATAATAAGCAAGAAAATTATTTTAAAGTCTTAAACTTTTTCTGATTTTAAGCAAATAGGTCAAAGTTATCTTGAATATGTAGAAAAGAACATCAAAAGTGGGGGTATATGATGTACATTTTCAGATATTACCCAAAAAGTGTGAATTTTACGTTAAAATTGGCTCAAATTTTCCCCGGATTTTCAGAATATATTTACTATATTTGTCACACTTTGCTGATAGAATTCATAAGAAATAATTTAATAGATATTTCAGAACCAGCATAACATATTTCACTGCAAAAAACAGCTTTGTGTGCAACCAGCATGGAAAAATAGGCATCCAAAATTAACAGTACTGTTATAGTGCAAATGGAAAAAACTGACCATCTTCGTCTATAAAACCTTCCGCCACAAAATATAGTCCCCAGCTTAATTCTACTTGAATGGAATTTAATCGCGTTTTTTTCATTGAATATAGTTTAATTTGCATTGTAGAATTCAGTTTTATTGTTAGAACCTAAAAATGATGCTTAATTTTATGAATAAAGGACCTGCGCGAAATACGCTCAAAATATCAGGATCGAACGTCCTTAAAGAACATTCATGCAAAGACACAAATAGATATAAGATTAAATTATTTTCATAAGTTTATTTTGTTCCATATATGGCTAACTAGAACCTAAAATCTAAGACTATGTACACAAACATCATTTTGTATTCACTTTGATGTGCTTATTTAAGCAAAACAACAGATTACAAAGCAAGAAGAAACAAAGATTTTTGGATTCTTTTATGTCTAGCCAATTATGGCTCCATTGCTCAAACTTCCCTGCGCATGCACTTGAGATTTATCAAAATTCATCTCGCAGATGAAGGAATGACGCTCTGTACACGATACATCGCCCCACTCATAGTCAGACTTGGGATATTCTATAACGACACAGTCCTGGTCCCCTGCCACATTATTGGGTTGTCCTGGGTGCCAGTGGGTATAGTTAAAGGTAAAGGGGTGGGAATGCCCACTCCAAGTGAATGTGTTTTCCAGATCGAAATCATTCCCATTCGTCCACAAACCAAAATCTGCGGCAAGCGACATGGCTAAAAGACGGAAAATTAGAATAATGATTTCAAAAGCTTCTATTTATACTTTGTTGGCATATTTATCCTTTTACAAGACAGTGCATATATTGAAAAAATGACTAATTATTTCTAAATTTTAATAGTTTTCATCTTTTTCATGGTAAAGAAAGTCATTCAAGTATAACCCGCTTACGAGGGTTGTGTATTTTTCTACAAAAGCTGCTACAATAATCCCCGTACTAACAAGTAAAGAAAGTATTTTTAATTTAAGTATACCATTTGACTGGTTGATCATGTTAGCTATAAATGCCTGTTCAGCAGCAGATTCGATAGCCACAAGGCTCGCCAGAGGCCATATGGTTTTACATGTCTTCATGGCGTCTTTGTAGGTCTTTGGCTCCATGTGGAAAACATAACATGTTGTCTTATCTCCAATATTGTTTACTACAGACCCTGTTGGACAACGAGGAAACCGGACGCCTGTTAATGAAGTATAGCGTTAATGTTAATACCTGTTACCAAAAAATGTATACATAATGTTTTTTTTACTATTATTTTTTGGTTGTGCATATGGCTGTCGTTTTAAATCGTTTAACATCTTTATGTAGAATAAATCTAATGCTGGGGGTATATATTCGTATGTGTAATAATATTATTGCAAGCGCAGTCAAGCAGATTAAGAATCGGTTTGGGTAAGAACCTTGATATTTTGTCTTTGAAATGCTTCTAGTAAAGAAGTCTTTTTTAATAAAACATTTCAACAGCAAATGTAGAAAAGAGCCGAACATCCCCTTGGCTTTAATACGGTGTGCATTGTTTTTTCTACATAGAATCTGCTGGCTGCTTCATTTCAATGGCAGAATAAATTATTGTCTTTTCAATACTTGTGCTCTTGGTATCATTTTCTGAATTTTGAATTTACTGTTTTAAAAGGGAGATAAATGCAAAATCTAGTCAATTCAAAATTTAACGCACGATAATATAGATTCCTGTGTAAATGTGATCAAAATTCTTCGTTGTCGCCACTGTATTTTGCTGGACGTTTACTATAGTAAACAGCTGTACATGTATTTATTTTTTAAAGGAAATTTTTTAAAGGGATCAAAGAAGTTCTTCAGCAGAATTTAATTTATTGGTCAGGCTACACACTCGTAACACTTTACTTACCTTCAGTTGAGCAGGGTGCATTGTAGACACTCAGATCGTCTATATAGACATACTGACTGACGTGGTCTGCTTCAAACACAATCTGAAATTTTAACAACGTCGGTATCAGCAAAATTAAGACAGAATGTGGCTTCATAATACATGCAAAGGTGTCAGAACAGGGAGGGAGTTTAACCCCCGCACTTTTTTGCACAGACACTTATCAGTATTAGATATAATGAAGGCATGAAAAATCGGTGAATCAGTCCCCAAACGCTTGAAAAGCAATGGTATACATTAATCGTTTTGATTTATTCTTTATTTTTCTTTGTGAGCTCCCATACTTTCAATTAGCGTCCGCGATTCCTATGACATGTAGACATTGTTTCTTACTAACTGTGTTAAATGTAACTTACTTGAAATGGCCTCCTTAGGTATTCTGGATCAGGGCTGAATTCCGCCAAGGTCCAGTTGTGTGCCGGGATGTTGGTCACAGAAAACACGGGATTACCTCTCAGGGCACCCTCCTACAAATGGATTAAAGCATGTCTGCTTTATGTGCATGAGAAAATTCTTTTTACACATTCATGAATATTTGATTCCAGACTGATAATTTTGTATATATGAATATATTTTACTTGTAGATACACATTCAGCTTTCCACTAGTGTTTGGACGAGTTTCTGCCTTGTAGTAAAAACGTATGCAGTACGCTTGTGCAGGGTTGAAAGGTCTTGACGTAATACGCGTCACATATCGACTTCCGTATCTGTATGAACTTAAAGCATGACCTGCATCAAAATATTAAATCAATTTATTATGGTTAAAAAATGAAATATACACTGTATGAGCATGAATAAAACGGTTTAAGGGGGATGTACGGCCATATTTAGTGCAGTGAGAACAAAATGTAAACATTTCTTCAAATGGCTAAAGTACATTATATTTTGATCAAATTCTAAACCCTTATGATAAAGATACAATAAATATGCATAACTGAATGCATGTTGTGCATATATAATCTATACTTTTGCAGAAAAATGCTTTTGATATGCTCCTAAGAACTGCGCAGCTACAGAATTCAGCAGAGCCTTAAAAAATCCAAAAAAATACGCAAAGTGTGATTAATGTTCTCTCTACAACCATTTGTTGAGAAAATGTCTAAATTTTGCACTTTTAAATGATAATTTTAAGTTCAAAACAAGGTATCGTTGTCTTCAAAAAGAGTGTAAAGAACCCTGAAAGTAGTTCATTGATAGCAGCACGTGGTCTATTTTTAGCACAGAATTTTGTTTTCCAGACCTCTTCTTAATATGGAGGGACATAACAATCTTTAAATGTAGAAGAGAATTACAGTTGAAAAATATTTCAAATAATATGAACACTTTTCAAAGAGGAATTGTGTTAAAGTGTGGCTTGAAGTAATTTATTTAGTATTATTATCAACCAGTTGTTAAATAGTGTACGTATTGAAATAAACTTTTTGATTCCAGGTAAGGAAAAATGAGCACCATCAAAGTTTAAAATTAAGAGTTTGTAAGTTTGCCACAGATGACTTATAATATCTATCAGAAGTTTAATTATCACCAATGAAACACAAAGAAATTAAACACATAAAATCGATATGAAAAACCTTGTGTTAGTATCTACTGGTGGACTTTTACGAGAAGCGCTGACTTTTACAGTTGACGAATTACTTTCACACTAGTACAGTGTACGGAAGCTCTTATACGATAAAAATAATCAGCTCAACAATTAATTCAACGAAAATAGCGGGCTATTTCAAAGTAGAGATAAGTTGACAACTTGCCCTTGAAGAAAACGACAACCATCCTACCCTCATCTTCCATCCTTCACATGTACGTGCCCCTAACAACATTACTATGACCACTAGAAAGATTTTCTTGTCTATTATCAATTCTGTACTTCCGTACATGATACAAGTTTAAATGTCCAAGTAAACGGTCAACTGTAAAAGTCAGTGCTTCTCGTAAAAGTCCAGTACGAGGGGTGATCGAACTATCTCTATATCTACAAAACCACAATTTAGATTAGAAACAAATATGGTGCACACTCAAGTTCTATAAATTGCATATGCCGAATAAAGTTTTGCTCACAATGTGAAAATAAAGTCATTATGCAGGTACTTGTGACGAAAAATGGTTGTCTCAGTGGAACTCATTCAATAAACAACTAAAATAATTATGGTATATCTTAAAACTGCATTTGAAGTAACGTATAAGAATTTGTTCAAAGTTTATTAAGACAAATGACTTCCTAATAATTCAATCAATGATTGGATAGACCATTTTAGTGAAGGAAGGCAGATGGTTGAATATGATACTTGTTATGTTGCCCGGTGAAAGCAAGTTTGAAAAGGGTTTTTTTTTAAATTAAGCAATATGCTATCAAAGGTCTCCAATTTACACTTTGAAAAATGCTTGAATATTTCAACAATATAACTATCAAATACCTAAGATATCGTTTACTTTTGATCACCCCCCCCCCTCCTATATACTCTGTCAAATAAACATTAACAATTTTCATTACAGCGTAGCAACATTTGAAAAGGAATAAAATCATTCAGAGTGGGTTAGGAGATTTAATGAATAATTTTTTTCTATTTGCCCATTTTGTTAAAATTACAATTTTACAGAGTAAAGAAAAAAATCAACACAATTAAATATTTTATAACATCTTTAAAAAGACGTTTGCTGGACCTCCCAACTCACGGAAAATTATTGGGTCCGTATTTATGGTGAGAAAAAAAATTCCTTAAAATTCAAACATATTTGTTGACGGAAGAAAAAAAAATCCTGTAATTGGATGTAAAACTAGTGCTAATTGTAACGGGGACCGTTACAGATGTTCCCCAAACGCTCCCCAACTCCCTTTTGGTGCCGTATTCCCGGTTAGCTTCATTAAAGAAGACAACCTTGAGACTTAAACAACGTTTACCTAGAAGTGTACGAAAGGTCATTCAAATTTTAGCAATGCACGCGTGCGCATGTGAATGCATCTAAGTAATGGCCATATCATCTTGTGTACACAATCTATATATTATTTATACTAAATATTAAAGTAGTTAACCGAAATTTTTAAAAAATACGCTCATTCAAGTGTATTTTTGATTTTACATATTTCCCGTGCACGCACGTGCATACACGAGCATGGTGATCATACTTTCTTGTAGAAGTCAATTACATCTATCTATGTTCTAAATCCCATCCCGTTTGGTTGAAAACCAAGGAAGTTATAGCTGTTTAAAGTTTCAGCCAATCAGATTGCAGCGCACATACTTGCACGTGCATGCATGTGCATGGTGTCCATATCGTCTTGTAGAAGTTTATTATATCTATCTATGTTCCAAATCTCATCCTGTTTGGTTGAAAACCAAGAGAGTTATAGCTAGTTAAAGTTTCAGCCAATGAGATTGCAGCGCACGTGCATGCATGTAATTATTGCTATATATCATGTTGTAGGATATACCTGATGCATGGCTATGTTCAAAATTTCATAGAATTTCGTCAAAAAACAAGAAAGATATTGAGTCTTTAGTTTCAGCCAATCAGAGCGAAACGCACGTGCATGCGCGTGAGATCTTGCTATTTTGACCATGTCATATCGTCTATGCTACTAATTTATCCTTATATTACGAGTTTCAAAGCATTTCATCAAAAATTGAAAAAGATACGTCTATATCAATTATATTGGGCATTTCTCGTGTTTCACGTGCGCGCTCTTGCAAGCACGTGCGCGCAAAATGACCTTTGTTTGGCAAATCTACATAACATGTCTACTGACCCTAAAAACATTTTACCTTAGTCCGATGTGTAGTTTACAAGATCACTCGAGGACAAAATTTTCCCAGGAATAATAATAATAATAACTAGATGAAACTCGTTGCGAGCAACGAGAGGTCTTCCGTCCCATTCTGAAATAAAAAACGAAAAATCTAGCAGAAAAAGTGATAAAAAAAATTCAGACATTCCTGGGAGCGAACCCGGGTCGCGCGCGTGACAATCCAACGCGCTAACCATTCAGCCATTGAAAACGCCGCTTCAAATTTTTAAATGCGAATATCTTGAGATTGCCTTTATCGATTCTAAAACAAATTACATATTACGCATTTGCAAATGAGTCTCTATTTAGATTAAAAACACCAAAGAAAAATATTGAAAAACAAAAAAATTAAAAAATTGCATTTTTTAAATATGCTTCCGGCAGAAACCGGAAGTGCTGACGACGCACGAAAAGGCGATTCTGCAAACCTCAAAGTCATGATCTATCATCTCCAATAAGTCTCCAGTTCATATTCTCAGCGATTTTCGATAAAAGTGCGCGACAAAATCGCATTTTAAAATCAGGAAATTGTCCATAACTTGGCACCGAAAGCGAATTTTCCAAATTTCTCTTCGGATGTAACAACTTCATATAATGACGCATATTTTGTGAAAGTTTCATTGAAAACCGCTGAATAGTTCTCGAGAAATCTTCTGCACAAAATTTTGTCAAAAAAAATAATAATAATAAGAACTAGAAACGACTCGTTGCGAGCAACGAGAGGTCTTCCGTCCGATTCCGAAGAAAAAAAGTAACGTCGACTGAATAAGTAAATAAAAATTGCAGACAAGTGGGATTGAACCCAAGTCGCCAGCATGAAAATCAATCGCGCTAAATACTAAGTTATTGGAACCTCCTCTCTAAATCTAATTGTATATACATCTGCAACAGCGCTTCTGTCTTAGTATAATGAAAGGCCGGTCACCATTCAAAATGTCGTGCTAAACGCCACAAGTTAATCTTCGCGCCTTTTTTTTTTGGAATGTTCTATAAAATAGGCGTGTTAGCTTCAATGAAATAAAAAAAACGATCTCATAGCCTAAAATTTGAGGTTTAGAATGTATATTAACACATTTCACAAAATCCATATTGTATATAAGCAAGTTACACAAAATCAGTGAAACGGCTATGAATTTTTAACTTTTTTTAATTTCCTGCTTATCCCCAAAGTGAACTATCGCGATTAGTTAAGCTTTTATGAAAAAGTTTAAATGTTTCGCCGAAAAACATGGCTCGCCCTATAACTGTCAAGGAATCGATACCATTTACGCTCAATAACTTGAATCAGATCTGTGAGACAAGAATGCTAATATAAACTCCATTCACCGATCTTTAAAAAATGTTTTTCTTATTTTTGTCTTTTCTATTAGTTTAATATGACACAAATGTGCACTGTAAAAACAGTCGTTAAGTTTTATAATTACAATTCATCGATATTCTTAGTTGAGAAAGTATTACTTATAAATATGATGTTTTTCCGTTGTGCGCAAAAGATATTAGGTATCGAATTTCATCAGCATATTCAGTCTTTTCTTTTTCTACTTTGTGAACCAGTCAAAACCAATTATAGAAGACGTTAGTTCGACACAGAATTGCAACGTAACTACGACCTGACAATCCAAGTATTCCTTTACATTTCATTTATCCTTATGTTACTTTCGTTCAAGCAAACGCTCTGCTGCCCCATTGCGAAATACCGGAGACAGCCGCCATTTTGGACCCGCTTCAGATTTTCGAATGCTTATATCTAGAGTTTAGATTTATCAATATTCAAACAAATTATATAGTAAGCATTATAAGAAGAGTCTCTATTTACATACCAAAAATAAATGAAAAATATTGAAAAACAAAAAAAGTTAGAAAATACACTTTTTTTCAATGTACACCTCGTAACGACCGGAAGTAATGACGACATACGAAAAGGCGATTCTGCAAACCACAAAGTCAT